CCAGGTTTTCAGACAAGAATCTAGAGAGGAGCCTGGGACCTTTGCATATGAAGCAGATTCTCCATTCCTAAATTACTTGTAGGCTTCTTGTAAATTACTGGAGTTATATAAATAGGCATTCCACATTAAAAGTGTTCCAGTACTGTAACTCGAATCATTGTTCCTTCCCACTTCAGTTTAATCATAAAGTAAGAGAGATGAAAAGTGAGTGAGACCACTAAAGAATGAATAGTTGGAATCCTTTTAAAAATGTGAGTTGGCTTGGATAATGCTCACCTCATTTATCTATAAATATGATTATTCATGTCTAATACATCCAGGGTAGGGCAAAAGTTATTAACACTTACAAAATATCAGATCAACAAAACATTGTAGATGAGCACAGCATTATTATGTCATTAGTCAGAACTTTATTTTAATCTTTTAAGGAGCCCACATTTCATTAGTTAGTGTCATAAATTATACTTAGAGACACTATGTTGTGCATAGTTTTGAAGTTTAGGAACAAGACTCTTTGCTGACTTTCTTCTGTGAAATCTTGCCTTGTCATTGCACAGCAGCAGATAAAGGGTATTTTGTAAAGGGAATTAAGATAATGGTAAAGGTTCCTTCACACATATGTGCTAGTCGTTCCCAACTCTAGGAGGCGGTGCTAATCTGTGTTTCAAATCAAAGAGCCAGCACTGTTCAAAGACAATGTTTCTGTGGTCATGTGGCTGGCATGACTAAATGCCAAAGGCGCACGGAATGCTGTTACTTTCCCACCAAGGTAGTTCCTATTTTTCTACTTGCATTTTTACATGCTTTCAAACTGCTAGGTTGACAGAAGCTGGGACAATTAACAGGAGCTCACTCCATTACTCAGTACTAGGGATTCAAACAGCGGAACTGCCAATCTTTCTGATCGACAAGCTCAGTGTCTTAGCCACTGAGTTCTGGAAACTCTAGGAGAAGATCAGCAAAAGTTCATTCTGGCATCTAGAAAGCCTAACCTATTTCTTTTTCACAATTTAACCATGGCTAGCTTCCCGGTGGCTTGTGAATTTCTAATTACAAATTTCAAATCATTGGAAAAAATGTACCATTTGGTTAAAAGAGTTTTCTATTTCCTTCTCTGAACATTTATCTGTACATTTCATGACTTCATGGAATTATTTTTGGGAAAAAATTCAGTAGGAAAGGAGCCTTCCATGTTGACTGTCATTGTTTTACCACTCTGCCTAATACATAAAGATAACCTCGCCATATAATAAATAGCAATTGGTGACGCTTTCTTTCCACTCAAGTACTCTGTCTTGGTCCAGGATTGATTTGGTTTTC